CCCCCCCCCCCCCCCCCGTCAATTTTCTCCCTACTTTCCTTGCTGACCATCCTTTCAAAAAGGAGAAATCAATCTTTTGAATCCAATTGAACAAAGCTTTCCTTTGGGCTCCTTGGATGGATATGAACAACAGAATCTTCAACAGCAAACTTCATACCATTGAAATCTTCATGTTTTTGTAAATGTACCTTGGTTGGTGGTTTTACTTTTTACCATTCTTTTACAAATTATAGTCTTAATAATCTCCTGATTAACTATTTTTTTTTTCTTCGCAATCCTCAGTTACTTGGTGTTTTATCCGGTGTTTGTGTATTTCATCATATCAATGATATATCTGTTTCTCGTTAAAAAAAACTGCCTGTATGTAGGATGAGTTTTTGCTCGACCACTTGGAAGTAAAATATTGTCAATTTAATCTATTTTTAGTCGATTGGATATTTGCATATTGCCCCTCTTATACTCGAGTGCATTGTCTTTGTAGTGTTAATGTCTTTACTTAAAGATGATGGATAGTTCACCAAAAAAATTTCCTTCCCATTTTCTCGTAGGGGCAACTCCCAAAGGGGTTTTAAGAGTAATGGGGGTACCTGGTCTTACTATATATCATGTCAAAAGCCATTTACAGGTAATTCCATTCAGTGAATTTATCATGCTGCAAATATTTCAAAAGTGGTAATATGAAGTTGATTGTATTTTTATTCTTTCAGAAGTATCGTCTTGCAAAGTATTTGCCAGAATCTCCAGCAGATGGTAAAGCAATCTTTTTATTGTTGTTTCATTCTTTTATCCAGCAATTACTACTTGTCTATCTATTAAGTATTGATTTCACTTGGATTATCCCCTACTGGCGTGTAGGTTCTAAGGATGAAAAAAGAAGCTCAGAGAGTCTCTCTGGAACAGATTCGTCTTCGTGAGTGCCCATTCCTATTTAGAAATACTCTTGTGACTATCCTTCTTTGCTCCACTTTATGACTTGCATCTTTCTATTTGTTTTTCCATCTTTAAGGGGCCTGCAAATCAATGAGGCATTGAGGATGCAAATGGAAGTTCAGAAACGTCTTCAAGAACAGCTCGAGGTTTGACCTTCCTCATCATTTACCACTCTTCCTCTTTCCCTTCCGGAACATTTCAAATAATTTTTTCTTGTTGGATTTAAGTAGAGCATTTTGACAAAAGAGGGGGTGATCAAACACCATTTCCATGTAAAAAACGTAGGATATAGAGAATGAGTTCAAGCAGTCGTCTCAGAAGAATAGTTGAGTTGTATGCAAGCTAGTCTATATAGGTGACTAGTCTAGATAGTTATCGAGTATGATCATTTCTTGTTCTTTGTTTTTACCCATCAAGTTTACTGTTTGTTGTAAAGTATACCATTATAACCTAAAATGACTTTTGTTTGCTTGAATCCCATATCAGGTTCAAAGGCAATTACAAATGAGAATAGAAGCACAGGCCAAATATTTGCAGAAGATCATTGAGGAGCAGCAGAAACTAGGCGGTGAATCGAAAGACTCCGAGGCCTTGCCCTCGGCTGAAGATAATAAGCAAAAAACTTGCCAGTCTGAGTCATATAGCGATGTATCTGCAGAGCCTTCTTCTCCTCGAAAGAAACAACGTGTCGATCATGGAACGACAGATGATTCTGCCCCGTCTATTAATTTACCTTAACTTACCTGAATAAATTTGTGGTCGATAGGACCAAGAATTGTACGAAAGCAACATTGGTCGGGTTTACGTCGGAGTTGGAAATCAAGTCTCACGAGAGAAAAAGGTCGACCAGTTGCATCAAATGTATGTTTGAAGTTAAGACCGAATGGTAGTGTCGTCGTCTTCATGAAGTTGATGAGGTCTGTAACATTTGTATATATATGTGCACATGTAAACCTATTTGTAAACCCTATTGAAATACTCAGACGTAAGTAGTTTCACTCTACTTAGCTGTTGGATGCTTCACTTTTTCTTTATATAAATTCGTTTATATCTTAAATCCATTTTATAGAATCTATGCCTTTGTTTTTAAAAATTTACTAATTTATTAGATAAAATTGAACATAATGTATTTGACATAACCTAATAAATAAAAATATTTAATTAAATTTAGTCTATAGTTTTAGTGTATAGAATTAAAAAATATATATATATTTTATTTATTCAAAGCAACTTTTGAAAGGTTGGTATTTCGATTTTTTTTAATTTCTGACAGATGGGAATGGCGGGTCCACGTGTCATCTTCTAATTGGTCAGAAATAGTAAAATAAGGCTTCAACCTGACGAGATCAGAGAAGCCGAATTTGAGTAAGTAGATCAGAAAAAATTAGGGCTGTGATGGTCAATGGCGATATAAAACCCTGGACTCGACTCTCAGTTCTTAGCTCCCACATTACCCCTTCTCTTTCCATTTCCATGGCTTCTTCTGAGAAGGAAGCGGCTCTTGCAGCCGTCCCCTCCGATTCCCCCACCATGTAAGCTTCTTCAAGCATCATCGTTTTGTTCTCTCTCTATTTGAACATTCTGTGTTTAAAGTTTTATAGCCCCTGCAATTGGTATTTTTTTGTGTTTGATTTGCTGAGAATTAGTTCGTGATTAGTTTCATGGCTATTGGGTTATCAGGAAATGTGGTTGTTGATTTTTCTTATAATTGTGTATTATTTTGGCTGTTTAGTGCATTTAGCTCATGATCTAAGTTGAAGGCTAATCGTTCTATGCATGAGATGGAGTATTGGACGTATCTATATTATTTATCTAGTGTTTATTATCGATAGGGAACACATTATTGTACCTTGTACATGTACTTGACTCAATTGGTCAAATTTGACCTTAAAATCTCAATCTTTAATATCATGAATTGAACCCTAAACTTAATAAATGATGAAATTTAATTTGTGATTATTTAAGTTTATATATACATTTTGAAGATCCGTGACTCAATTTGAGCACTTTTTTGGTTGGTGATACTGTTTTTATTTAATTGATTCTTTTTGTCATGACAGAATTCTTTTGAGCTCAATGATTCTTCTGGTCGACATGATTCTTTTTAGCTCCTTTTTACGTTTTTTCTTTTTTTTGAAACTCAGCACCTACTTCCTTAGTTTGGTAATTTTCATAGTTCAATTTTTGTACTTTTGTGGCTTGATCTCAAGTATTTTAAAATTAAACTTTTTACTCATAAAAATTGTTGACATTTTGTATATTAGGGAAGTAGCATCATTATTTATTTTACCTCTTTCCTTTTGGAGTTAGGTCTATACTCTCCGTTGAGAAGTCCCTGCCATTCTCTAATATAGAACAAAAAAAAAAAAAGAAAAAAAGAAAGGAAAAACATTACGTCCCATGAAAACCTATTTCAAGTTGCTAGTAATGTTTTGGGTTTGTTACTTTTGCAGATTTGACAAAATCATTAACAAAGAAATTCCATCTACTGTGGTCTTTGAGGATGACAAGGTTCCTTTTCATTATTACTATATAGTTTGTATTATTATGTAAAATAATTCAAGAGGGAAGGAAATATGAAGTTTCAGCAATGGCCTCACAATGATTAATATTGTGAATAATGTATTTATTGAACATGTTATATACTTTCAAGTGAGAAATTGTTAATATTGCCTGGTGGAAATATAATGCTGCTATCCATCATTAAAAGATATGATGAAAAATGAGCTTTCATTTATAAAGACTCGTCTCTCTTTGATATTCCTCAGTAATGGAAAGGTACCCGTCGTCCAGCTTGATGGATCCCCTATGGGAACTGAGATAGGGAGGCCTTTAATTTCCTCCAGCTGGGCACATTTTTTCTTAGAAGCCACTATTCTTTAAATGGTACATCATGCAAGCATGTCAGGATTGGGGGGTTTTTTCAAAAGATTGTTCTGTCATTTATATTTCTCGGTTTGATAGGTTCTTTAAAACTCCTAAAGGGAGTTCTGTGTTTGATTGGTGCTCTAAATTTCAGAAGTTTGTTTTTAAAAAAAAAAAAAAGAAAAAAAAATTAGGACTAAGACCGGGACTTAGTAAACTGAATGGTAAAAGTAGATTAGAGAACATTTTTTTTCCTTTGTAGCCTTTTTATTTATATGATTATTTCTTCAAATCATTTCCATAATTTCCTTCATTCTTTCTGAAGGATACAATATATATTTACTTTTAGTTCCTTGTGTTCTGATAATCACGGCCACTCATTGTTTTATAACCCTCGCTTTGATGTCCTCATGAGTGAAAGCCTGTAATAAAAGTCAAGATATGTCATTGTGAATAATTAATTTTTTTTTTTTCCTTAAATTTTACTATTCATAATGGCAGGTCCTTGCTTTTAGGGACATATCACCACAAGCTCCTACACATATTCTAATCATTCCAAAAGTTAAGGATGGGTTATCTGGATTATCTAAGGTATTACTTGGGTATTTACTCTCTGCTTTTACCTTTTCAATCAATAACATCTAGCTAGGATTGGAGACATCTTAGGGGGAAGTCTGGTCTACATCTAGGTACAACACCTTCCTTTGTTGTCTTAATGTCTAGGAGTTGTGTTTTATCTTTGTTCTTAGTCTTGACAGCTGAAGCCCTTTCATTTATTCATGTTTGGTTTTTTCCTTTGCTCCTGTCTTGGGTTCCCTTGATTTGGGCTGATTTTTTGTATTCCCCAGTTGTATATCCTTTTATTTAGTTCTATTTCACGCCATTAAGATAAACATGTAATACCATGGCACATAATTGGCTATTCTTATGTGACCTTAGCATACTTTCTTTGTATTTTCGTCATTTACTTAATGTGCTTCATAGGCTGAGGAGAGGCACACGGAGATTCTCGGCCACCTTCTTTACACCGCCAAGCTCATAGCCGAGCAAGAAGGGCTGGACGATGGCTTTAGAATTGTAATTAACGATGGACCAAGTGGATGTTAGTACTCTCGTCTTCACCTTTTACACTAAATATCGAATATTTTCTCTTATGGCCGTTCATTTGATTTTTAAAAAATTGAGCTTATAAATACCACCTCCACCTATGACATTCCTTATTTTGTTATCTACTTTTTAATAATGTTTTCAAAAAACCAAACCAAGTTTTGAAATTTTTTGAAAACATAAGTAGTTTTTCAGAAGTAAATTTTGTTTTTGAAATATTTCTTTTAAGTGATGAAAATTGTAATCAAACACAATTTTCTAAAACAGTAAACTAAAAATGAAATCACTATGAAATGGTGTTTAACTTATCAAGTATTTGATTTGCCATCTGTTTTCCAGTACTGACAGTTGCACGGGGAAATTTTTGCAGGTCAATCGGTTTATCATCTTCATGTTCACCTTCTTGGGGGGCGACAAATGAACTGGCCCCCAGGTTAAGAAACCCTTAAATTAAGGTTGGAAAGCACATTCATAGCTAATAAACCTATGTCTATGTTATCATCTACCTATCTGAAAATTCTATCAACTGCTGCTGTGACTTGCGGTGTCAACATCATTCATAGCTAATAAAACCTATGTCTGTTGTTTTCTTGAATATCGAAATTAATTATGGATGCCCAGTACTTTCCCCAGATATGGAAATGCATGTATGTGACTGTTTCTCAAATTGGAAGTCTCAGTAGCAGTTAAAAATGCAGATTTGCTTCAGAATGATGTTAAGCTATAGGAAGATTTGGGCCTCAAATTATGGAATAAAGACGTTCTTTTAAATTATGTTATTTGAAGAGCTCAAAATGATTTTAAGTTTTCAATTTTGTTTGGAATGACAGATTTGAAGTTTCTAGGTTTTCCTGAAATAAGATGGAAAACAAGGTAATTAAATTTTAAATCCTAAAAAAATATGGCCATTCAATTTATTTGTAGTAAAAAGGGATTTGGGATCACATGTTGGCAGGGGACATTGATTGTTTGTAGTTGAAGGCATGGTCGAGTAGGCCATTTGTGCTATCATTTTAGTTGAAGCTGTGAACTTATGGACACAGCTTGGTTCTGTTCATGCTTTGGGACAATTAGAGATTTGCTTGTGGCTTTTTAAGCTCATCAACCCTTGCAACTTTGTCTATTTCTTTCATTTCTAGGTTGAGCTCTTGGATCTTGGATCTTGTGCAATTAAAAAAAGAATATGTCTAAGATATGCTCGTCCTTTCAAAATGTTTGAACGAGAACAGAGAAGGAATGTTCATGAACTCTTACATGATAACAAAAGAACAAGACTCATGAGTTGTATTCATTTTTGAGTTTTTGAACAGGGTAAGGACCCTAGATATATTCTTATTGTTGTTGAAATTGTTAGCTCACATGCTGGCCATTCATTGAATTTAGTGAGGTCCTATAGCTTTGGAAGGATTATGTATCCTTGATGATTAAAAGGAGAGGAGGGTTTTGTTTGGCCCAAAATGGCTTGGCTCTCACCTCATAGTACTATAGCTTTGGAAGGATTGAGTAGACTTGGTATTGCTTCAAATGCCTATGCAAGCTACTAAGAGGAGAATTTAATAGTGTTTGGCTAAAAAGGTAGAAAGAGCGTCACATTGAGTAACCACATGAACTAGTATCAATAAAGACAATAGCTAAATGTCAAAAATCTTAAAAAGGTAGGACTCGAGATTGTTGAGGAAGTCATTCAAATTTGATGTGGTTAAATGAGTATTGTTGTACCACAGGCACGAAGCATGTATATCAAAACATTGATCAATAGGTTCCCTACAAGCATATATATATCACTCGTTGGTCTCTACAAAATCATGGCTTCACAAAGCAATGAATGAAGTGTTCCTTGGAGGCACATCCCTATCGTCAAAGAAAATGAAGTATATGAAGAGAAGGGGAAGCAAAAAGCCAACCACACATATTTGGTTGCTTATAGAACAAACCATGTTCTTTGCCCATAAAAGTTTGGCACAAAACCACTTCATATAATTCAGCCACCTGTTTGTGTTGGAATAATTCTTGGCTTTTAGAGGTATTTATTACTATTATTATTATTATTATTATTATTATTATTATTATTATTATTATATAGAAGACCGTGTACACCTTAAAAAATGGTAAAAATTGATCGATAATATTCATTTAAGAATGATAGAAAATCATTAGAGAAAAAAATTAAAAAAGAGAAAAAAATTAAAAAATGTTAAAATTATTTATGTCAATATTTCTTTTATATAAAGTTTATGATTTAAAATCATTTAAATTAATAAATGGGCAAGAATTGATGGGGGCAATCATACAAGTTGGTGCAAATGATAAATTAATTTATTTCTTAATGAAGGAAAAATAAAAATGACGTCATAAACATTGTTTCTCATATTGAATATATGAATGCACTTCCTCTTGAGAATCTCAAAATAAATAAAATCTTATTGTAAGTAACCCAAAGTGTATTAGAATGATTTGTTTTAAAGGTTATAAATTAATAACATTTTTTTGATGTGATTGATGAGTGGATTGGGTCACATCATCCAACTCTCATCCTTTGAATTTCAAAATATTTCCATTCTTCACTTTGCTCTCAAAAGAAAGACCACAATCCTCAATTTCATTGTGATTGTAACGCTACCCCTAATCTCAAATCATCAACACAAAATTTCATATGATTGCCCAAAAAAATCATGAATTATTTATTCTTTTAACCACCAAAAAAATATGATATTTTTTTAAAAAAGAATCGCAAAAGAATAGTTACATAAATGAACCAAGACCACATTTAAATGATAACAATCTTGAAGATAGAACTACTAAAAAAAATTCCAAAAATTAAAGTTACTATCTATACCAACCAATTGCACATTTGTTTTCGATAGTTCAATTATATATTCTCTTCCTTTCAGACATATCACAATCCATTATATGATATTTTCCTTGAGAGATGTTGAGAGGGAGCATCAATAAAGTCACTTTGGGTATAGTTATATAGATGTTGATCATGTTTTTTTGGATTCATATCAATTTTGCCCATGAGCACTATTGTTTTGCACTCCTTTCCTTTCCTTTTCCCTTCATAGCTAAATCAAGAATATTCGATCAATTATATGTTAGACGAATAACACACGTAAATCACTCGTGAACTTAAAAAAAGTTAAGGTTTAAAGAAGATGGATGAATCAAAGATTGGCTCCTTTTTACTCAGAAAGAGTTGGAGCTTGTGAAGGTTGAAGTGAAAGGAATCTTTCAAAATGACCCACATCTCTTCATAAGTTGATAGCCAACTTGGATGCTCTCATCTCTTCCAATAGTTTTTCTCCCACTAATAAAAGCCTTAAAGTTGCAAAATATTGGATGAAAAAAGAAGCATAGCTCTCAACCTCATGTGATTATGTCATCCTTTTCCCTTCTCTCTCTCTCTCTCTCATATCATTGCTTCATAAATATTTGTTATGAGGGTGAGGTTGCTTTCTGTGGTTTTTGATGGAAAGAAGAGCAACTACTTCTGAGATGAGCTTTGTTCACGATGAAGGCTTATCTCACAAACCAATCTTTGGCTACAACCATAATGATCTGAGAGACAGAAGAGAGGCTTCTGATACTCATCCTCACCACTTTCTTGCTCGTTATACCATTGTTGATGATTCCTCTGAGCTAAGTATTTTTGATGCAAAGAAGTATTTCAATGAGGTTTCAACCAACAACCTTGTGACGAGTATTGACCCGATGTTGATGTTGAAAGGACAATCTATAGATCAGGATTCGGATAAGGATTCAGAATTATCTAGATCCAAACCTTGGACTTGTGGTGGTGTTACTCCTCCGTCATCCGTGGTAGCTTCTAAATTCTCTCCTATTGTTGCCTCCATTGATGGGTATCGTCAGAGTTATCGAGCTCGATCTTTTCACTCTACTACACCGACCGCCTCGTCGGAGGCTAGTTGGAACAGCCAAACAGGGTTGCTCTCAAACCCTCCTGGAGCAATTTTTGTATCGGTTTTGCACGGTGATTCTAGTCCTCATTTGCAAAAGAAAACTCGAAAGCCACCGATGTCATCATCTATAACAGGAAGATGGATTTTTGGAAGCTCTAAATGTCCTTGCATTGGGAAGAAGTCAATTCAAGTTCATGAGTCTAAAGTGATATTAGACCCAAAAGCACGTCCTTATATCAATAACAACAATACTACCAAAGACAAAGATAAAGACAATTTTTCTGAATCAGAGTCTTCGACGTCGTCAAAGAAAACTTCTAGTGACAACACAATGTTTTTGCAACATTCAGATAACGTGATTTGGAGCACTCAAAAATGTGTTCCTCCAAATTTGCTTCTTCAAGGACCCACAACGCAACGTGTAATAGCTTCTACTAGCTTCTCTTTTCCCATCTTGAAAAACAAGTCCAACAGCAACAATGAAGATCATTTTTCAATCAGATCCATAAACCCTATTTTAATCCAAGACCCACCTCGAGATTCTCTAGAAGTTTTCAAACCGAGCTCTGTCAAAGATGGCAATGGTGATAACGACCTAAAATCACGAATACTAGCCAACGTTGCAGCAACTGGTGGCAACGCCACCATCATCAGTGACATCGATGACATGGCCAGTGATGCTAGCTCAGACCTTTTCGAAATCGAAAGTTTCTCCACTCAAACCGCTAGCACCACCACCATCTCGTACTCCAACATGTTCCACCGACGAGACTCAATGGAACTAGAAGCTAGAAGACTAGGGTTGAATGCAGCGACCACACATTGTAGTCTTGATGAGCCAATGACGCCATCGAGCGATTGGTATGAGCCAAGTGAAGCAAGCATCGATTGGAGTGTCACGACGGCTGAAGGCTTTGATCGGGCGAGCATCGCCAACATGTCAGAGGTCGAGGAGCCTTGGACCGAGAAAAACAACATTAATAAAAATAACAACCACAGAAGAAGATCATCATCGGGAAACGGGTTGCTGAGTTGTCGGTCGGAGAAGGCGGTGAGTGTGGGCCCACAGCCGGTGACGAAGCATGTGGGGAGTAGGCCACCATTGGGGAAGAAGCCACCAACACCACTAGCAAGGTCTAGTTCAGCTCGCCACTCTCTTACTTTTGCTGCCTGATTTGGGAGCACTCTTTCTCTTATAATTGTGATGGAGAATGACACACCATTTTTCTCCACCGCCATCTCTTCCAACACTCCCACCTCTTTATTTTCTTATCTTGTCTCTTCAATTTGTTTCCCCTCTTCATTATAGCCTTGTCTCTCTCCAATAATTGTGTGAATTAGTAGTTTGGTGAACTTTCCATTCAATTACTTTACTTAGTAATTTGTTCACTTTAAATCTAGAGTTTGAATTACTTTTGTTCGCTTTTCTTCCACTGGCTTTAAAATCATAGTTACACAGCTTTGCTAGCTCACGAATCCGCAACTCGATTACAACCTCTCTAACAATACTTGAAGGATTCAACTCCTACGAGCATTGCTTCAACTTCAATAACTTCCAAGAAGTTCTTCATTTAAGAAAGATAAGATCACTTCCACCATTTAGTATAAAGTATTATAATTTGTTCAATGACCTCATTTTATCGTACTAATTCTCTAGTGGTATATAAACATAAGTTTGGAAGGCTTTACCATGGCTGATGAAAATTCACATCAATTGGTAGAATCGAACCCACCTATCATGATATTTAGTTCACATTCATGTATGTTGTCTACAATACATGCACAAATATCACAATTGCCAACAACATACATGATCGATCATTTGTCACATAGGACAAATCATACATATCTTAACTTACCCAAAAGTCATCCATGAGTCGAGATACTTAACTCAAAAGGAATTCCATCAACAAAATTTATATATGATTAGATAGCCTCGATTGAATCCAAAAAAAAAATACAATTCTAAAATTAATGCTCACATTTAAAACTCATTTGCATGGTGTAAATTTACTACAAAAAGACAGATTTTACTCGAAGTATCCTTTGGTGTAAAACTGTCTCTAAACCTCCAACAAGGGAAATGAAAGCGTGAAATTGAGTGAGAAGGGCAGTGACTGATGTCTTTAGAAAAAAGAATTAACTCGAACTATGATATTGGTCTACCCTTAAATTCAGCCATTAAAAAGCCCAAACTTTCCTAAGCCATAATTTACCAGTCCAACTAACCCGACCATATTTATTTCAAATGAAGATTTAAATCTCTAAATTAAATGAAAATAAAATCTAACAATTGAGAGCAACCACCAATACAAAGAATTGAATAAGCTACTAGAAGAAATTAATAGTTGAAGACATAAATTATAATCTCATGTCGAATTACACTTCTAAATTTACTTGAGTAAAGGTCACAGTAATCAGATAGTTTCACCATAACAATCAGAAATATTATATAAACCAGTCGCAAGTAATTTCCAGCAATGTTGATTTAAAAGAAAGGAAAAAAATAAAATTAACTCAAGTATGATCCATACAGGTAAAGTTAGACATACTTCAAGATAGAACAAGTTCAGAGCATAGCATATCTGTGACAAAGTAAGCCGAAGTGAATCTCACTTGGAATCTTTAAGAAAAAGGTGGGTTCTTTTTCTTCCCCTTAATTTTTATCGGGGTAAGTTTTTAAATCAAGATAAGCTATCAAGACTAAAACTTCCACGACTCTAAGCTGTTAGCACATTGGCAAGATGATTACTTGTTAGATATAGTCGTATCAATAGAGGTGGGCTAGAAAGATTTCGAGAGATCACAAAATTTTTAGTTTTTTAATATATGTGATCTTTTAATTGTAGCAATTAAAAGGAAGAAATTCCGATTTTAAATTTATGTGTTGTTACTCAAAATAGTGGCAACTATACACGAAAGCAAAGAAAAGGTGGGAACTTACTTGTCAAAGCCTTTCCGTTTAAGTGGGAGCAGAGAATGAAGCTGATTTCGTCCAGTTGAGTAATTTCTTCATCCCACTCTCCCATGTTAGGAATTACGACTCTTCACAATGGTATGATATTATCCACTTTGAACATAATCTCTCGTAGCTTTGCTTTAGGCCTCCTCAAAAGGCTTCGTACCAATGGAAATGTACTCCTTACTTATAAACCCATGATCATTCTCTAAATTAGCCAACGTAAGACTCCCTTCCAACAATCCTCAACATCCCACGATCGACAACCTAATTTAAGTCATTGTAATATGTTCCACAGACCCAAAGCTCTTTAAATGACAAGCGATTCCTTCCAATACTGAATATATCACTCTGCTTTTTGGATGTGACATGTCACCCTTGCGAAATTCATGAACAACACCATCAACTTCAATCAAACTACATCCAGGAGTCTTCCTCATCTTCTTACTTTTCATCGTCTTTCTTAATTTCAATGTGTCTTTCCATCTATGAGCAGAAGAATATAAATTAGTCATAAGAATGTAATTACCATCTTCAACAGGATCTAAATTCATCAACTTTTGCATCACACTTTCCCCGAGGTTGACATTTCCATGAATCCTGCAAGCCCCTAATAGAGCTCCCCAAGCGAAGGCATCTGGCCTGATTTCCATGCTGTGGATAATCTCTTCTGCTTCCTTCACTAAACCTGCACGCCCAAGAAGGTCAATCATGCAGCCATAATGCTCTGCTTGAGGTCTAAGCTTATATGTATTCGACATGTCGAAAAAGTACTTCTTGCCATCGGAAACTAATCCACTGTGGCTGCAAGCCATGAGAAGACCTAAAAATGTCACTTCGTTTGGCTCAACACCTTCTCTTAACATCCGGGAGAAGACCTGGAATGCCCAGTTTGCTTCACCATGCAAGGCCAGCCCAACAATCATGGCTGTGTATGAATATACATCCCTTCTTTTCATGCTCTCAAACACCCTAAAAGCTTCGTCTATTCCTCCACATTTTGCATACATATCCAGAAGTGCATTCCCAACAAATTTATCAGCTAAAATATAATTTCTACGCATGTATGCATGAACCCACCTACCCAACTCAAGAACTCCAAGGTTCGCGCAAGAGTTCAAAACCCCTACTAACGTGACCTCGTCTGGCTTGGGCCCTGTTCTTTGCATCCTACGGAACATGTCCAGAGCTTCCTTGTACCGGCCCTGATAAGCCAATCCCAAAATCATAGCATTCCAGGTAACCACATTTCGCACAGGCATTTCGTCGAACACTTTGTAAGCAGAGTTCGAATCATCACATTTCAAGTACATGTCTAACAAGGCATTGCCAACAAATACATCTACATTCACGTCAATGTAATGGTGGATATAGGAATGCATTTTCCGACCCAAATTCAGGTCTCCCAAGTTGGAGCAAGCAGAGAGGACAACCACCAGAGTCCGCCCATCAGCCCTTAGCTTCAGATCACACATCTCCATAAAAGCTCCAACCGCTTTCCTATAAAGCCCAGCCTTCGTAAACGCTTGAATGAGCGTGGTCCAAGACACCAAATCCGGGTGAGGATATTCGCCGAATAACTTCTGCACAGCGTCGATAGAGCCGCAGACGGAATACAATCTCATCAACGTGTTACACACATAAACATTGAATCGCACCAATCCAATCTTAATGGAATGAGCATGAATCTGCTGGCCCTCTCTAATCCTCTGAACCCGAGCCAGCGCCTTGAGAACATGCGGCAATGTGAACCCATCCGGTTGGACGCCGATCAGAAGCATTTCCCTCAGGAATTCCATGGCCCTGAGACCGGTGGAATTAGTACTCTCGCCATTGGAGTTCGCAGAAATTCTGTGAATGAAGGCGTTGCAGAGATTGAGGCGGAATTGCGCATCGGCCAAAGAGGTGAGAAGGATAGAACGGATGTAGAAAAGGTCGGGGGAGGAGGAGGAGGAGAGAGAAATGAGTTTGCGGAAGAGGAACTGATTGTGGAGAGAGAGAGAAGGTGTCTTAATGGCGACGGCATGGAGCTGCTTGAGATGAGCAATGGATGTGCAGGAATTGAGGCTGTGTGGGAGAAGAAGGAGTTCTTGGGAATTCATACGCGGATAAGGTGGTGCCGATGATACGTAATGGTACGCGCCAATGCCTCCTAATATTTAATCAATATTACATGAAATATCTAAATTACAAATTTTGTTTTTTTATTAATTATTTGAAAAATTCGTTTATATTGATTTAAATATTTGAACATATAGCCAAATTTCAAAAAATAAAATAATTTTGTTAAAACTCATTTTTAATTTTCAAAATTTAGCTTGTGTTTTTCATAAAACATATGGAAAAAGTAATAATAAAACCAAGAAAAAAAAACGTAATTTTAGTTTAAAATTTCTAAGAGTTGTGTGTTATAAATCTTACAAATTCATTTGATAATTATTTAGTTTTCAAATTTTAAATAATAAATAAGAAAATAAAAGAAAATCCAAATGTAAAAACATATTTATATGCTTAATTTTCGGGGGGAAAAAAGAAAAAAAAAGTCAAATGAACAGTCAAAAATTTTAATTTAAAAAAAAAAAATGGAATCACAAGTTTGATTTGATTCAATTCAATTTTTTCTCAATAGAGATCAAACAAAATCGAATATTTTCGATTTTTTGAAATTCAGAATCAAGATGGAAAATCGAACCCAACCAACCAATCCTTACTATCCAGACACAATCATCAAAGTTCATAGACGAAAACTATAATTTAATCACGAATCTCTTCGAATACAATTATAGTATAAAAAGTTCAAATAATAACCTAAGGATGCTATCACTTGGATACATGAGAGATCTTTCTTTCTTCATCACTAAGCATGTATGTAAAACAAGAACACCAAGAATATCAATGGTAGTCAAGAGCTAAAAGGTGTTGTTTGGTAGCAGCAAGAGTAGGAAGCTTTACCCTTAATGGATGAGTTTGAGACGTTTGAGGAGAGAACACAATGCACATACTTCCATCAACTTCTCCCTCTGTATCATACAGCTTCTGTCCTGCACCATATCTTCCAAGCAATTCATATGATCTCTCTGAACCCTCCATTGTAACGCACACATTCTCATCACCTGCTTATAATCCAAACACAATCATACAATGATGTGTTCAGACAATGGTGAATCAAGTGACCATATTTGTATCAAAATCAAGAACAACAAATTCAAGTTTCAGAACAATCCTTGTTAACTACATAGACTATATATATAATTCGATTACTACTAAATCAATTTTCAGAGAAATGATTGGAGTTGTAATGGGAAAAAAAATGGTGAAAGAAAAGAACTCACAGGCAGCTAATTCGATCTGGGTCAGGTAAATGAAGTCCAAAACTGCAGAAATCTCCCTCTCAAAAGTATGGAAAGGGCCATTTTGAAACTCCATCTTCCGCAGCTTACACAGTCCCTCTCCAAGCTCCATCATCGCTCCTCTATGATTCTGAGCCAAAACAACAAATTCAACTCCGTTCCACAAAAAACAAACACACAGCATCGAAATTACCAAATGAAATAACGTTAAATTTCAAACCACGAACCCGATTAAAGAGATGATGAAGTCCCACGGCGCACTGGAGAATGCCGTGAATTAGAGTTCTGGTAGGATCCTCGGCTCCGTTCCACAGAATCTCAAGAACGTCGTGGCAGTCGTAATAAGCTCCTTGGTTGAAGAGATCGACCGCTTCGTCGAAGCTGAACTCTCTAGCGATTTGCTCGTCTTCGTCTTCGTCTTCGTGATCGACGGCGAATCGGTAGGAGGTGCGGAAGGAGAGCGATGTTGTGGTTTTTCCACGTCTAAAGGTGTTTCTTGGAGGGGTTGGGAGGCTGCTTCCATGGCGGAAAAGGGAGTTCGAATGGCGATGAGGTCGAAGAAGGGATGGAGCGGAGGAGGAAACACAGAGGGATGGAAGAGAAGCCATTGGTGATTAATTGCAGAAGCTTGGAGAATTGGAGCCATTTCTTCGGTTTGGTGTGATTTTTTTCTTTTTGGGATGGACGTAGTTTCGTGCGCGGCTGTGGCTTTGAACTGGTGGACACCCATTTTTTAGGGGAAAAAGATATATCTAAGTCGACCAAAGAAACGTAGATATTTTATTTTTGTATTAACCTTTGTTCTCATTTTCCCATAATTAATTGAATAATTTCTCCCATTTTGGGTTTAACCTATTCTTGTTATATCGAAAGGTTAGCATAAGTTCATGAACCTTGGCCTCTCGATTGAGAGTCCATGTCTCAACGAGTTATACTCATATTGGCAGGATGATAGTTAAGATAATAATAAAAAAAAAAGTGAGGGTTCGCTCTCAAAGAATATGTCACACCTAGGTTGGGATAGAGAAACCTACCCCAACTTTATTCAATGAATCTTAGAAAGAAAATCTATGATATAGAAAATTGGAACAGTTCCAACCATAAACTCCAGTTAAAGTAATGAGCAAATAGAGTCCAGATTTGTGATGCTAATTTGGGGAACATAAACTTGGAGAAATCAAACATCAAATCCTCAAGAACTTTAAAAGAAAAAATGAGAAACCAATATGCATCTGCGTGTTTCAAGATGAGAGCCAGTAGAACTGCCCCTTAATGTGGTCGAGTAAGCTTGCGTACGATTGCACGGAGGAGCTATGAAAGTTTATGCGTGCATTTCAGCTTCAATGGGGCCGAGACGAATTACCTACAATGTAACAATCAACAATAATTATCCATAATAATTCTAAATCATAGTTCAAAAATGGTAAAAGAGAACTATAAAAACTACTGAAGTCGAACAAGAATATATCTTTCATTTTCAATCCCTGGTCTTGATTATTCATCGAAGAATCCAACTAGTTGGATGCAAAATTTCCACTTTGTTACACATGAAGACACCTTAAATTTATCCGGTTCTTGTTTTTATACTTGAAGGGTATTTATTAGTAGAGACTAACAATCTACTACTAAAATATTAAGCTATCTTTATTCCTAACATACCTAAATCATTTTTGTAAAATGAACATACAAGGGCTCATACAATTATTGAGTTTGACCCTATTGGACTAGTGATGATATTTTAACACGATGTACGGAAGTAAACAAAAACGAGGTGAGCAGAAAGAAAGGGAGACCTTAGCAATCACATCATTTCCTTGTCATAGGCGATTCCAAGCTTCATTTGGAAGCGCGAGGCTATTATCTTCAACTCGATGTATCCGGTAGTGGAAATAGATAAATTGTATTAGTATCTGAAGAAGTTAAGGTTTCTAGTTTCTGCAGAGTCAAACCACTGAAGAGTAATAAAAGTAGAGCATTAACAAGGTCCTACATGTTTAAGAAACGCTAAAAGAAAAATCTACAATAGATTATATCTTCAAGCATGTGTCATATATTGATAATGAGGATACAAATGTGTCGAGAAGAACACATCCAACTGCATCTACTAGCCATGGAAGATTTGGTTTGATCTTCCACCAGCTTGTACTGCTCACAAGTATACTATAAAAAAACAAGATATATAAAACGAAGAAACTATTATGAATTGATTCCAATACCTTCAAAAAGAAGAAAATGGGCTACAAGGAATTACGATTGAAGTTCACGAACTATATGATTCTGAAAGGAACTTTGAATAAAGAATAGACCATATTCACCTCGCTACATACGTGGAATTTCCAATCAAAGCAAAAATGAACATTAAAGGACTAAGACCCTGCACAATAATTGAAAAATATTAGTGAATCCAACTCCAAATAACAGCATGTAACTCATAAAAAATTGTAAAGGATGAACCAAAGTTACAAACTACAAGTCCACGCTAAGCTAATTTCACAACAATTATCTTTACCTCAACATGTCCTCTTCTTATCTGCAAAAGTTAACAAACAACCAAGAGTCAATTACCTTATAACCACACAGATTCAATTTCTATTATTTGGACTCTCAAAGAAAACCACATGCATGCTAATCAAATCTTACACCAAAAAGGTTGGATATACACAACTTCCTAATTTTCTGGTGGAAACAGAGCCCTGCATCGACTTGGTTTCATGTAAGCCAATTGTCGCTATGGACCAGACTATGTATGAGAATTTTAGCGCAAGTTTTTCTAACAATGGATCAATTCATGCTTGGTAAAGAAGATCTTACATTCAAGCAAATTTGAGGAAGTCGCCCACCCATATATATAACTGCCATTGCCCAACCAAGGTAAGTTCCAATTCCACTGCTTCCTTCACTGCCATTATTTTGCAACAGCTCGCCAGCAACCTGGAATTTCAATAGCACTCAATGATTTATTATGCCTCCACTCAAATATCAAATATTGAAAATCGCCTTCAAGTCAACTTTCAAGCCAAATGATGCAAAAAGGTAAAATATGAAATGCACATCATACATGCAGCTGCCTCATAGTAGAACGATATACAAAAAAGAAATATGAAGACAAGCTTCTGGAGTATGAATTACTAGGTTTCTTAGCAGTTTTTATGCAAACTTCCAATTAACATACATGTAAAACTAAGTTCATGTTGGCCTACCTGTAAAAGCTTTCTACCTACTGGTATGACAAATCCTTTATTCGGATTATCTGAGACACTACGAAATCTGTTTTCTGCAAATTGATGGAGACTGAGTGTGCCAAAGAAAGTCAACATGAAGACCTGGTGATGGAAGTTCAAACTATTATTAACTGTAATTATAAATTACGGACAATTGGTACCAAGAATTATATAATAAACCTTACCACAGACAGCATATTCTTGACATTGGGAGGTGTTGAAGATGGTGATGGTGATGGTTCATTTCCATCAAGCAGCGGCTCTTGCAAGGGGTTCTGAATATAAGGAGGAGTCATTTTTTGTGTTAAAAAAGACCCTGTTGTGGGAGTATGACTCCTCGATAGAGATCTTGCTGACCTAAGTATTTACAAATAAACGAGAGAACATAATGACCAAGGAAACATACCACATAATGAAGAATAAAAGATATACAAAAGAAGTAAGGCTAGAAATCCCTAGTGAAAGACAAAAGAATTGATAATTGCCCAATGTTTATAGGCAAACCAGCATTGTATGAAGAGATGGTCAATGTCTACCCACTAGCAAGGCAATTTATACAAATTTGAGAAGCAATG